TGCCAAGAGCATCCGGACCATCCACACGCCCAGCCTCACCAGCTACAAGGTGCAGAACGGAAGCTCGAGCAGAACCGCCGCATCCACAGCCAAGGAGACTTCCTAAGGCCCGCAGGCCCGCGTGGCAGCTGTATGAAAAACAGAAACGGACTTAGAGAGGTCACCTCCGTGGTCTGCGAAGACCCTGGTTTTCACCAGAGCGCCACCGATGGCCGTCCGGTTTGCGGCCAAGACCCCGTAGGCTGCGCTAAGGGGCCGGCTTTGTGTGCTTTCCTCTTGTCAGTTGTTACCTTGTTGCTGTTGTGTTTGCCTAGTGTTCAGTACCTGCCCGCGGCGCCGGGCCGGGGAGGGGAGAGGGGAGGAGCGGGTGTATTCAGCATGTAAAACATGTATGATGCCAGAGTTTCAGTATGTTTTGTATAAAACTTATTTTTCATTACGGAGACTAGGAGTGAACAGAGAAATTACACAAGTGTGACTATACAGAGTGTAAAACAGAGGACTATAAGATATTTCCCTTTTATTTTAGTGTTATTTAGCTTTTATTACAGATTTCTATTTTTGTCAAAACGCCATAGTTCCTTTGGAGACCTTTTTTGCCAAAACATTTTGATACTATAGCACTGTAGATTTGAAAGTAGCGTGCTAGACACAAGCCAATGAACCGCTCACACCAGCCAGCAGGGAGCGCTGGGTAGAAGGTGACCCTCCGACCCCATTGCACTGCCGTGGGCACGGTGTCTGATCACCGGCGGCCCCAGAGCAAGCGCATTTTCTTTGCTTTTTGTGGTTGTTATTTTGGTTTGTTGGATTTTAACCTTTCGAGATTCTCTCGTTTCCTTTGCAGTCTCTCACCCTAGCTTTGTTGGGTTTTCTTTGTTACTGTTTTTGTTTTGTTTTCCGGGGGACCTGGTAGCCACACTATATTGCATTGTGGGTTTTAAAATTATAACACTGATCCATTTCTGTAGATATGTAAATATGAATTGACCTTAACAAAAAAAAATCCTGTGTGTGAGAACACATAGTTTCGTTTTTCCACACCAAAGTTAATTTTTATGCATGCTTTAAAAACACGGGGGGAGAGGGGGGCAGGAAATGGGACTACCCATTAAAGTTTTCTTTTTAAAAAAAAATAAAAGCAACACGTTTGCACAGCTAGGGTGTTTTTGTAAATAAATGTATTTGTATAACATTGTCATGTAATATACAGAACTATGAGCAGAGACTACAAATCTAAATAAAGGGCTGCATGCTTATTTGGGGTACCCCATTCCTGTAACTACTTCCTCAGAGATGGGGCTCTGCCCCAGAGGCTGCCAGTAGGCCCTGCCTGCGCCGTGGCTGTCACCGGCGTTGCCCTCCTCATGGGAAGCAGAGCTGGGTGTGTGTGAGTGCCCTGCCTTTCTGTCCCCAGGACTCACTACTCTCTCTCTCACGCCATCAAAGTGAAATAAAATGCCTTTGCCGCTGTCTTTTCTTTTTCAATGTCCATTCTTTAAAAAGAAAAAAGCCTTGTTGGCATAGAGGGACAGTTCTCAGTGACGCCCCGTCGGGCTGCCTGGGAGGGCGCCCGGATTGAGCGTTACAGAAACCCCAGCTTGGGTCGTCTCTGGGACCTACGGTTTCCGTGCGAGACGCTCATGGCTGTATTAATTGTGATCCCGTTTCAGGTAGCATTCCTTATGGAGGAGAAGAGGTTCTAAGATTTAATCCTGTCCCGTAACGTCAACAACAGCTGTATTGCATTCTTTGTATGTATTTAGAGAGAGAGATGGAGTAGCTGGGTAATCCCGATGGCCGACTTGTCCCCATGTGTGGACAAACGGGCGGGGACTTCTCTGCTAGCTCTTCGGAGCCCAGAGCAGCCACTCGATGGCCGTGAGTTGGGTTTTGCTCATAATTTGATTTCAGAATTCCTCAGCGTATACCGGGTCTCACCAAGCCCCACGGATAAAGGAGCTCTCTCAAAGGGCCTCCCTCCAGAGGACAGCATGGAGGAGGAGGTCCCCGCCACCCTCACTTCACACCAGCTGACCCCAAGCACACGCAGAAATTCAGATCTGGTTCGTGCCGCCCGTCGACTCCGCAGGTAGAACCGCCACCTTCCCCTCCGTGGGCTTCGGCGGTTGGGACTTTACAGGACCAGAACGCTTTATCTTTCTCACACTGGGCGGCTTGGTGATTTCCAGTGGGTGACCTTCTGGTTAACCCCACGAGGCATCATCCACCAGGGCTCCCCCTGCAGGTTCGCATGATCCCCGCAGCCACCCCAGGTGTGAAAGCCCCCTTGAATGGCTCGCAGTGAGGGTATTTGATGTGAGGCCCAGGTGACAAACACTGAGGTCTAATACAGGACTGGACGGGCACTAGCGCAACAACCCCTGCGTCCTGAGAGGCCTTATCCCCACCCCCATCCGCTTAGTATCCCCACGCCCAGAAGCTCGGCCACACGTCCGGGGCCAGGGCCTTTACTGGGGGGTACATCAGATACGCGTGACTGACCGAACAGCTGCCCGTCTCCCTGTGGTGAAACGGCGATCACACGGTACAACCCTCCTTTCAGCCCTGGCCACCCTCAGCCGGAGCCGGTCCTTACCTTCTCAAAGAGCAGACTCGCCACCCTCGGGTGATTCCGACTCAGTGACCCTCGGGCAGAGGAGTGCTGCCCCTGTGGGATCCGACACGGTGGCTCTTTGTGGGAGTAGAGAGCCTCAGGCTAGGTAGAGGCCAGCCGAGATGCCTGGGTTCTATGGGGCCCACGTGGGACAGCACACACCCCCATCCCTCAGGAACTGCCAAGGACCCGCGCACTGGGGAGCAAGCCTCGCCCAATCCCCGATCACACACAGCCCTCCGCGTAATGTCCTCCCACATCACCCAGCAAGGGGAAACTTTCCTCCAGGAATTCTTCCATTGCACCGGTCCCAGATCCAGCCAAAGCTTGCCCTCCATCCCCAGGACAGAGAGGAATGACAGAAGCAGGACAAAGGGAATCCAGCGCGCGCGACCTGCCCGCATCGTGCTTCTTTTGACGCTGAAGCCTGGGAATGACAGCCCCGCAAGCTTCCAGTCACCACTCTCGCTGTGGTCTCTTTCAAGCCCATCGCTCAACCACTAACTCTCGTCTGCAAGAGAGCCGTCGCGGCAAGCTGTGTGGGTCCCGCCAGTCGACCGGGACTTAGCGAGCTCCTTGCTGCTGTTACCGCTGCCTCCGCCGCCACCTAGGGAGTGGGTGGGAGGGTAGCCAGGGCTCCAGGTGGCAGGTGGTGGCTTCTGGTCCTATCATCAGGCTTAGCTGCCGCCCGATGATTAGGCTGTGTGACCTTACGTGTGGCTTCGGCCCCTTCACACTCGAGCAGATTTTTCGGCATCATGGGTGCTGCTGTCCCTGCAGGAGCACCCAGGTTCAGATCCTGGCCGGTGCATCTTCAGCAGAGCCCACATCTTGTCCACGGAGGTGCGTGTGTGGGTGGCCACAGCCGCGGAGGAGGGCAGGAGGCGGGACCGGGCAGCGTTTTGTTCTGTCGTACCGTGGTGTGCGTGAGTCAGGGAGCAGGCAACCAAACCACTCACACAAGATCACTAGGAGAAGCGAGAGAAACTCCAAAGAGAGCCTAACACGGACTAAGCGCTCGAAACCAGCCAGCTAGCAGTTTGTCACTGTGGAGAGGGACACACGGCCGCTGCCCTTCACAGGCTGGTGGTCCAGCTGGGGAGCAGTGGGGCGATCCCCCTGGAGAACCAGTCCTGGAGCGAGGCAGGCGGGAGGTGACGAGACCTGCCTTGCGGGGCTCCGAGGAGAGGCGGGCGCTCTGTATTCCAAGGGGCCCTACGATTTGGTCCTCACAGGTGTTGTGCAGAACATGATGCAGGTGTCATTGTTAATTTAAAGCTACAGTGTTACAGAGTTTATATGTCTGCTTGCAGTTGTTCCCAGAGTAAACATTTCCAGTCTTGGGGAAAACCCAGGTGCTTGGGATTCGGCCTACCAATGAAAACACACACACACACAAAACAACCAAGACTAAACTGCCTGCCATTGACTCGATGCCAACTCACAGTGACCCAATGGGATAGAGCCCTGGTGGTGTAGTGGTTACACATTGGACTGT